GAGATTATGTGACGAATGGATACTCCCAGACGGTGATGTAGGTGTGAGCAAGACAAAACATAGGTTTCTTGTCCCTTTTTAGCGTATCACTTTATTTCATTTCCCACCAGTGTCGTTGTTGGCAGACATTGAATAGTGTCAAAAGTAGTTTTGCGTTTTGTTTTTTGTAATTGTTTTCAAATTATGCTTTATTTTATTTTAATCGAATCCAATACGTTTGCAATTAAGGTAAATTGCAGTGAAATTGGCTGTAAAAGCCGTTTAATACATACCTATAATGTATACATAGTCTGGCCATAAATACTGTTACAATTAAAAATAAACAAAATATTACATTTGAATTTGGAATCGTGTCATTTTTATATAATTTTTCATTGTGTTTTCTCATTTTGGCGCCAATAAATTGTTCAATATTTTGCGATATTAAAATGGAGTGGGGTGATAAAGAGAACCGAATCGCTGTGATTGCATTACACAAAGTGGGTATGGAGCCAAATGCAATTTTTAAAACTCTCCACACGCTTGGCATTAGTTAAATGTTTGTGTACCGGGCTATTAATAGGTACAATGAGACCTCCTCTGTTTGTGACAGAAAAAGATCTGGCCGTCCACGTAGTGTTCGTACGAAAAAGGTGGTGAAAGCAGTAAGGAAAAGAATTCCAAGAAATCCTGTCCGAAAGCAAAGGATTTTTACAATGAACAATTACCTACTATACTAAATTACTAAATTATAAGTCAACAACCACTTGACTTAACGCTTTCTCGAAACTGAAGTATAAACTTAACCTTCTTTTTGACTGGCCATTCGGGTCGCTTAAAACACCTCTTTTTTGTAAAGCTTGTTGGGTAACAAAAATGTACGGCGAGGAGTGTTTATTTCACTAGTTAAATGTGAAGTCATAAGTATTTATAGGAAACAAATTAAAGCTTTTGAAAATAACTGATTATTATAACGACTCTTGTAGGTATCATAAACTGGGAAAATAATAGCTCAACCTGATTTCAAAGCACAATCAATTTATTTATTTATTTATTTAAAGACTTCATGCACAAAACATTGTACATAGGCGGACTTAATGCAATGAGCATTCTCTACCAGTCTACCATTGGGTGATGCAGAGATAATCTAGTGGCAGGTGCAGAAGCAAGGAAATTCAATTGAATATACCAAACATATATACAAAAATATACATAACACACTTTACATACATACATACTACATATATACATTACAATACATATTTATAAGGCAGTAAATATATATATATATATATACACATATATATACGTATATGCAGTCATAGTCCCGATGATTCCCCCAACCTCTTCAAAAGAAGCTCCCGAACTCTCTGCTTGAAAGACAACCGACTAGTCAGGATCCTGATATCGGGGGGTAGCGCATTCCACAGAAGAATAGCCTGAACGAAAAATGAGGAATGGAGAAATTTTGAGTGATGAGTTGGACAGTTGAGGCGACGATTGTTAGAAGAGCGAAGGTATTTTTTATGGTTTGCGCATGTGTATTAGAAGTAAGAGGACATATAGCTAGGTGGACAAGGTGAGTTAAGAAAGGAAAATAAAGTGGTTAGCGCCCTTTGCTCCCTACGCTGGCGTATAGGCAACCACTTCAATTGCAACCGATGTGCAGAAACATGATCATATTTGCGTAGGTTGAAAACGAAACGAATGCAGTTATTCAGAAGTCGGTCGAGTTTATTGAGGAGATCTGCATTCAGGTCATAGTAACAAACATCAGCATAATCTATTATAGGGAACAACAAGGCCTGTACAAGCATCGTCTTGGTGACGGGCGGAAGCAAGTTTTTCACGCGGTAAAGGGCCCGCAGCGACCCGGTTACTTTTTTGCACACGTTAGTTACTTGTGTATGCCAGTTTAAACTCCTGTCAATATGTAAGCCTAGGTCTTTAACATTATCGCTGTAAGGGACGATCGCACCGTCGAAAAGAACGGCCGGCAGAGATGCACTGTCAATCTTACCTAGCGATCGAGAGCTTCCGATGATGATAGCCTGGCATTTATTCGGGTTTACCGCAATGCCAAACCGAGCTGACCAGGCACTAATGATGGCTAAGTCATCATTAATTTTTGCGATAGCATCGGCCAAGCAGTCTACGCCAGCCCGACAGTACAGCTGCAAGTCGTCTGCATACAGATGGTACGCACACCGAAGGTCAGAAGTGATGAGATTGATAAAAATAGAAAACAAGAGTGGTGATAATATGCCGCCTTGAGGAACGCCAGCTTTTAATTCGCACCAGCCTGATGATATATCACCATGCTTGACCGACTGCTGACGCTCCTGAAGATAAGAAGAAAACCATGCCAGAGACCCATCAGAGATTGCAAGATGGGATAGGATGGCTAAAAGGATATCGTGACTGACCATATTGAAGGCATTTGAGAAATCAACCAAAACCAGGACTGTGGCTTTAGCGTCCTCAAGGCCAACTCTAATATCGCCAGTCACTTTAAGGAGGGCGGAAACAGTGCTGTGGCCTGGTCTGAAGCCCGATTGGAATGGACTGACAAGTGAATTCCTGTAAATGAAAACAGATAGTTGTTTGTGGACACAGGCCTCAAGCACCTTGGACAGGAAAGGAAGTATGGATATAGGACGGAACTGACTGGGAAGAGTGGGAGTAGAGACTTTGGGAAGTGGGCGGACAAAGGCTTTACGCCAAAGGGATGGGAAAGATCCGGAATACAGGGAAAAAATGATAATGTGGGTTATAGCCGGTAGGAGGTGATCTAGAACAGTTATAATCATGTTACGAGAAATGTTATCACATCCTACCGCTTTTGATTTAATTGAAAGGATAATCCTACCAATCTCTGCCGAATCAACTGGAATGAAGTGGAAAGAAGTAGCAATGTTGGGACGCGTAAGACCAGAGATGAACCTTAAAGTATCTTGTTTCACTAGACGATCTATGGTGGGTACTGTAGAGAAATGATGATTTAGATCGTCTAAGCGAATTGAGCTGGGTATTTCTATATGGTGCGTTTTGCCGATACCTAAAGTCCCAAGAAATTTCCAAATATCGGCAGAAGAAGCAGAAGAGATGTTTTCGAGAACGTGGCGGCGTTTAGCGTTACGTACCATCTGGTTACAGCGATTTCTTGCTAGCTTAAAAGCTGCCCAGCTTTCATCGGTGCGATCCCTCCTGTGTTTGCGGAAAGCGCGGTCCCTACGTCGCATAGCCATTTTAATACCACGAGTCATCCAGGGCGCAAGCAGTCGCTTCACTCTTACCCGCCTAATGGGAGCATGTCGGTCATAAAGGCTTATTATTGTGGCGTTAAAAATCTCAACCTTTTCGTCGACTGAGGTGGCTTCCATTAGGGGCTCCCAGTCGATTGATGACGCGTCTTTCTGCAATCTTGCTCCGTCCATCCGCGCAAAACAACGCCTATACAAGACCGTAGGCCTCGCCTTGGGTGGCTTTAGGATATAGGATAGGAAAACCATGTCGTGGTGAGAAAAACCCGGCGCATCACGCTGACCATGGCAGGATACAAGGGAGAGATTGGAAGTAAGGATAAGGTCAAGCCAGGAGTCGTCGCCTGCAGTGTTGTGGTGAGTGGGATTGAGTGGTAACACATGTAGATTAGCCGACTCAACTATGTGAAGGAGTTTACGGGATCGAGGGGACTCATTGGAAAGGAGATTGGTGTTAAAGTCACCCATGATTATGTGATGCATGTACTCAGAACCCAAAGATTCCAATACTGATTCGAATTCAGTGAAATAATCGATGTTAGGAGGACAATAGACCACCCCCAACACAGTCTTCCCCCCTTGGCTACAAAATTCTACAAAGAGATACTCCGCAGGACAGTTGGATGAAGATGTAAATAGTACCTTCAATTGTATATTACAAAATAAAACTGGACTGATCTGTATTTTAAATAGGAGCTGGTTTCATAACGATTCCAATGATATAAGTTTTACATAAGCTCCTAAACAAAACATATTATTATTATTAGATATTGTCATTTTAAGTACACGCGCCGATATTGCGCGTACTACCCAGAAAGTAGCGACACAGTTGCGCCTATCCGCACAAAATGGCCGCCAGAGACACACACGCCTGTTTCCCTATCTTACGTGCATGAATTTATTTTACCTCGCAGTAATTAAAGTTATTAAATAATAGTTTAATAAATGATATTTTCTTTTTTAGCCGTTGTCCGCGGAAGACAAAATCGTGTGGTCACTTTAGTAGAAAAGGACGCAATCCTATTTACGAGCATCTCGCTCGACTCGTTTTTTTGGCTAAAGTGCATAATCTTGTTGAATTTTACGTAGCACGCGGCGACAGGGGCGACACACGTCCTATTTCTAAAAGACCTCGGCCGGCACTAAGCGCAGGTGCGATTACGCGCTGTTTATACAGTTGTAATAAATAATTCATAGTAAAATAAACAAATAAGTTATTTAATTAAAAAATGTACCATGTTTTAAAATGTAAATGTCTTCATTCATTAGGTCTAAAAAAAAAAACAAAAATACCTTTGTTTTTATCCTAAAACATCACGTTTAATAACTAGAAATAAGGCTAAAAACGATACTTTTACGTACTTTTCTTTTATAAAAACTTACAGTAATTGCGTTTTTTTTGCCATACACTAGTTGATGTTCTTGTTTTTTTAATAGTAAAGCTGTTATAAGTTTGTCGTTTATAGTATTACTATTATCTAGTATCTACCTAGACCGTCGACCACGAGTTTTAAAAAAGTATTGAATTAAAATTGTTCTAACGAGAAAACTATACGATTTTTTTAAAATATTTTTCAGCCATGCACTAGATTATGAAATCCTTAATAATTTGACGTCAATATCTTATCTAAGAAGTAAATAAATTATCGTTTTATTGTCCGTCGGATATCATCAATTTTCACTAAAACGTGGTTTTTACTGATGAACGCTCTTAAATAATATCTTTGAGAACGTAGTGTTTACATACTCTTTGGTATAATCTATGGTCATGTATCGTTGTGTCTGTCAAGTGGTTACATGGTACTCTTTGTGTCTGTCGTGAATGTGTTAAAAAATATTGTGTATTAACCAAATTATTTATTGTACCAAAATATATTATTTGTTACACACAAAGTTCATAAACAATATTTGAATTCATTAGAGTATTATTTAGAAATACCCCAATAATCGTTTATTCTTGAAAATGGCTTTAGCCCTCCAAAGACGTGCGAATGTAAGTATTTCTGAACACGATATATCTTGTATCAATTTTATTAACTCCAAGGCATTTGTAAATTATAGATCACCTCAATGAACGTCATTCAACTATACATATAATACAGCCCAACTTTTAATAATAACATTATCCAAATGCTTTGTTGATGTATGCCTGTGTGACTCAAGTTGCTTCGTTCAATGTAATCTAATGTCCTTAAAATTTTTCTAGGTTCGCTTACCTCCAGAAGTTAACCGAATACTATATATCAGGAATTTGCCTTACAAAATATCAGCTGAAGAAATGTATGATATATTTGGAAAATATGGAGCAATTCGACAGATTCGAGTGTGAGTAGTCACTGTTCATATCATATTATAATGTGCACATTATGTTAAAACATAATACTAATAGATTAGCAATTTTATTGAAAGCATTCGCAATAATAAGTTGCTGGAATCAGTCATTTGCCTTTTTACTTTAAGTTGCCATTACCTACCCTTTGATTTCGCTGTATTATTATTTTTCTCAAAAGTTATATTGAAATGTTATTTTTACAGAGGGAATACTCCTGAAACAAGAGGTACAGCATTTGTGGTGTATGAAGATATATTTGATGCCAAAAATGCATGTGATCATTTATCAGGCTTTAATGTCTGCAATAGGTATTTAGTAGTACTGTATTACAGATCTAACAAAGCATTCAAAGGTATGGATATTGAAAAGAAACAAGAGGAAATTGATGCATTGAAAAAGAAATATGGAATATCTAGTGAGGATCTTCGGAAATAAAATATTTCAAGCAATCCTTGTTTCTCTTTTCCTGGTAAATTGGAAAACAAATACCAATTTGATATCTAAAAACATAACATTATTGGTTGATAAGTTTAAGAGGGAGAACCAATGCTATTGAAAGTTTTTAGTCAAATGTGTCTAATATGTGAGATGTGAGAAACAAATATATATTTGAAAATATTTTCACTTAGAAGCAAAAATATTTAATGTAATTTTTTTTATACTCTGACTGGGCACCAGATATTTGTAAAAATAGAGAAATTTAGGTTCAAAACCATATGATAATAGAGTGGCATTAATGTTTCCAATGTGTGTTAATACACTTATAAATTGACTGATACTTTTTAAATTGTAATATTTTGTTTGTTTTTGAAGTGCCTCCATTTGGATTAAATAATTATAATTTCATGTGGTGTGTATTGTTTTTGATGACGATTTTACCACTCTTTGCCCACCGTACACCTCGTGAGACCACCTAAGTGTGCAGCGGGAAGTTTTTTTACTACTGTTCACCTTGGTTCGCCTGGGTGTACCGTGGGAAATATAAAATTTCCTCCATCCACTTTTTTATCAAAACTATATCTGATGAGGAAAGAGATTAATTATTAAAACATATTATGCATTACGATATTCTCCTCTGTCTTCTACTGTTTGTAAACAGGAGCCATGAAGTGGTAATTTGAGTTCAGGAAAAAGATAGAATTCGGCTGGACCCATATCTGGCGAATATGGTGGCTGCTCGATGGTATTTGTTGAGTTTTAGGTCAAAAATTCGTTCACAATGATGCGCACATGGCCACCGGAGCAGTAGAAGATATGGGTCCAGCCGAATTCTATCTTTTTCCTCTTACACAACAATGCCGTATGCAACAATGTGGCCAATAGACCATCGTCCATTGATAACTTTATCAAATGGCCACGACAGACACACACATTAACCACAGACGTCAATAGATTTTTATTGTACAAATACGAATTGTTATTAAGGTTATAAAATAAATACACAAAATGAGATTAAATATTTATTTGCATATTGGTTTATGGTAGTATCGCTAAGCTAGTATTGGATATATTTGAATACAGATTTACATATATGTTCCAACTATATTTTTAATAGTTTGCTGACGATATTATTAAAAAACGGTTTCATTAATAAACACTACTTCACAGGGAGATAAAAGTTGAATAACCACGTTGAAACAATCTATACAGAGAATAATATAATTTAAATCTACTTCACTGATTATAAAACAAAGATATCACATAGAGGATTCTCATGAAACATGCACTAACTACCCACAATTATAAATATGGATAAATTTTAATAACTGCTGTTGAAGCTTAAACCTATAAAATAATAATTGAATGCTAATTTCACAGACTTCGGAATCATAGATCAATCATAACATTACTTTTGTCCAAATACAATGAATAATTGTAGTTGAGGATAAATGGTGTCTTTTTTAAGGAGTATTTTACGTTATTGTATTTAAAAAGTCTACAAATAGAATCACCTTTCCACTTTCGCTAACAAAAACATACAACATAATAAATGAGTCATATAACATTCCAAGGTATAACAAAATATTCTTGATTTATTCACCTGTACATTTTTTAGTTTCATACAACAATTATTTTACACTCCAACAACATACATGAGATATACCTTACCAGAGCTTCTAGCCTTACGTACTGAATACTGTATATGGCATAATAATAATTACTGTCACCGGCAATTTTGTTGTTTACTGAATCAATAATTATTCGATTTAGGACTGCTTTTTCAGTTGACAGATAAATGTTATCCGAGAAATAAAATTGTTGCTGTCACTGTCTAGGGTCATAATCAATTCCAAATTAAATAACTTTTATCTAACCATTTAAAAATTAATTCTTAATTTTATAATATACATATAATAAACAAATAGCATATTTTTTACTTGTTTGTATGTTTCTCAGGAATAGCCTGAACCGAAAAAAGATATAAGTTTGAAAATTATTTAAGCTACACAAAAAACTGATGCTCACTTCCCACTACTTATAATTGAATATATGTATGTCAGTCATGGCTTTTAACACGTCAAGAGGCATTTTAACCAAACTCTCAACTAGAGACAACTGACGATCACTTATTATTATAGTATGTAAAGCTATATCATGTCACTCTATATTTATAAAAGATTAAATATATTAGACATTCTCAAAGCAAAAATTAGGAACATAATTTAGACTTTAGACTTGGTGCTAAACGGGCACAATTGCATGGGTTACACTTTCAATATAATATTTGTATATTAAACTCTAAATTATTTAAATAAATTATATATCTTATGCTAACTTAGCATGTAACAAACAAAAACAAAAGATTTATAAAATATGAGACATTGTTGACACTTTGCAGCCTAATATACAAATACACTCATGATCAGTTTTCTCTGTATGTTTAGGTATCCCTGTAAATTTCTAGCAAATTTAACTGGTACCCATTAACCTCATTCAAATTTTATTACATGTATATCCGATATTCTTTAATGTCTGAAGGTAGTGAGTAGCTGAGCAGAGCTTAAAATGAGCAATCATATTAAATATACCAAAAAATATTGAAGTGTTTATGACGAAACAATACAATAAACTTACCTTGAAGATGTAAAGTTGAATAATACAGTTTTATAGTCTTGTTATTATATTCATATATAACTATTTAATACCTCAATATCGACACTATAAATAACGAAAGAATAGATCAAGTAGTTTGAGTAGCCCATCTAATTTTAAAATATTAGGTCGTAATTTTTACGTACTGTGTATACAAATATGTATGTCATACATATTTAACATGTTTAAAATACACACTTAGGTGTACACGTGGAGCACTAAAATAACTGCCATTTTTACGTTCGTAACTCAGTCTGTTAACCTCTCTCATAATAAAAAAAAATAGTAGTGAATAATGTTGAAGAGTAGTCTGTTACACCTTGTATTTAAACAAACTTAACTTTTTGTCATAAGAATTTAACTTAGGAAGTAGATGCCAATCGTGCTCTGCCTTCTGTTACTAACTGTTTATTAATATAAATGTCTTCATCAGTGGAGGTGTCAATAAGATCAAGTGTCAATAAGGGTTCATTTGGATTTAATGGATCCTTACCAACATCTTTACAAATACCTACAAATTGTTGCTCTACACACAATTCCTGGAATCTTATACAGTCTTCTACAGTCCAGTCCTGATGCAGTGGCCATACATCTGAAATACATTAAAAATAAATTCTTTAAAATACATTAGTATTAAAACTTTTACATAGTTCCTTCAAAGAGAAGAATTTAAACATGGTTACCAATGATGTTATATCATATAGTTTATGATCATGGTCTTATATATGTCACCGGAAAATAACAAGATCCGTAAGTTTATCAATTTACTAGGAAGTTTATAAACTTTCGTAAGATTCTAAACGGGAGATAAATTGTAATATTTTACGTCCACATTTTCGTAAATTGATAAACTTACTGAACTCACTCGTAAAATAATAAGTAAGCAGTAAGCAAACGCTACGCGCGATCTGATTGGTTGGCTGTCACGTGTCACCTCTCCTTCCTCGCGGCCGCCATTGCTGGCCACGGAACTGTATTTTAGCAAGTAACTGTTAAATAGCTTATTGAAACTGATAATAGAAAACTTAACTCACTACATCCGTGCTTGAGAGGAATGAGGCATTGTTGCTTCCAATTTATAGTTTGTCAAGTCTGATTATTCCAAAGTCTATGGACACAAGCATTGCCACTACGAACTTTGACCAATCAGAGAGCAGTGTGTTATTTTACGTATTTCAAAGAGCGTATATTTAAAAGAGTTTCTGTGATTGGTCGAACCATATAAAATCTTACGAATAGATATTCGTTAGTTTATAAATTTACCGTATAACGTCGGAAATTGATAAATTTACGAAAATGTGGACGTAAAATATTACAATTTATCTCCTGTTTAGAATCTTACGAAAGTTTATAAACTTCCTAGTAAATTGATAAACTTACGGATCTTGTTATTTTCCGGTGACATATATATACCTAGTCTAGCCATAAATACTGTAACAAATAAAAAAAAAATTTTCTACTGCAAATAACATTTATTACTTTTACAGTATGTAAGTTTAATACATAAATATAAAACAATTTAAAACATAAAAAGCTTATTCGAAGTGGTCTACATTGGCTGCAATACAGTCGTTTAAACGTTGAGGCCAGTTATCAATAGAAGCACACACTCTTTCCATGGGAAAATTCTTCACTGCCAATCGTATGGATTATTTTAGGGAGTCCAAATTATCATGACGTTTAGAGCAAGCCCTACTCTCTAAAACTGACCATAAATCATAAACCAGCGGATTAAGATCTGGACTAGACGACGGCCAGTCTTCAGCTCTGATGAAGTCTGAAACGTTCGACTGCGTGGACCGAGCTTTATGACCCGGCGCCGAGTCTTGCTGGAAGGACCATTGTTGGTTATTGAACATGGTGGTGTTAAGGGGCTTAACTACCTTCTCAAGAATGGTATTTTGATACACTTGTGCCGATGTTTTGATACCTTTTTCGCAAAAGTATGGCTCAGTCACTCCTTCATAGCTAACACCCCACCAAACCATCACTGAAGTCGGATCAAGCCCACGCTGCACTCTCTCGACTAATTGAGAAACTTCCTTAGAGCTTTGAGCATAAATACGGTCATTTTGTTTGTTAAGATGTTGCTCAATTGTAAAAATGTTCTCATCCGTAAACAAAATTTTTCTGTGACCTCCCTTTGCGTACCGCTTCAGTTGTTGTTTAGATTTTATCACTCTATTCTTTTTTAAATTATCATTTAAAAAATGTCCAGTGCGTCTCTTATAGGCTGCAAGTCGTAAGTCGTCTTTTAAAATACGCGATTTGGTTCTAGGTGCTATCTTCATCTCCCGAGATAAAATCTTTTGCTTTCGGACAGGATTTATTCGAATTCTTTCCCTTACTGCTTTGACCACCTTTTTCGTTTTTCGTACTTGGACGGCCATCTCTTTTTCTGTCCAAACAGAGGAGGTCTCATTGTACCTATTAATAGCCCGGTACACAAACATTTGACTAATGCCAAGCGTGTGGAGAGTTTTAAAAATTGCATTTGGCTCCATACCCACTTTGTGTAATGCAATCACAGCGATTCGGTTCTCTTTATCACCCCACTCCATTTTAATATCGCAAAATATTGAACAATTTATTGGCGCCAAAATAAGAAAACACAATGAAAAATTATATAAAAATGACAGATTCCAAATTCAAATTTAATATTTTGTTTATCTTTAATTGTAACAGTATTTATGGCCAGACTATGTATATATATTATTTACTATTCATATATTTAGTAAATTGAAGTATTTAGTATATATAAGTTAATTAATGGTCCAATGTTGCGTATACCACTTGATTCGTAATGTTTCGATTATAAGTCTATTTCGAACCGTACTTAGAAGTCACGCAAGCAATGTATAATCCTTATCCAGTTTTAGCGACTTCATACGAATATAAGATTAACTTATGTGGGACTTAGTTCATACTTAATGATTATTCGTTATTTTGTATACTCGTTATAGTGGCAACCCGGCAATTGTGAAAGAGGTTCGAAAATAGAAAAGGATGCTTTAATGCTTACCATATAGTCGGGCTTTTATTGCTTGCGGTGGTAGCGACCGCGCCAGGGGAGCGCCTGGAGGCACTGGCCGCAATGCTTTGGTAGCAAATAAAGCTAAATCTCCGTAGTCGCAGAAATATACAGATACCATTTCTGATGAAACTGTCCCAGCTATAGTCACTCTGCAGAAAGAAAAATCAAAGTAAAGTCAAAACCTATCGCGCGCATCTGCGACTCAAATTTATCGAATAGGGGACGGAAAGTGTAGAAGAATCTTGCTATCACAACACGCATGCGAGTGCCATGATTTGAATGGGCTGGCTCGACCGGAGTGATACCACTGCCTCGCAGAAAAATTACCAATTCTTCCCACCTCCCCTCATCCTCAATCCCTAATAACCCACAAGAGGCCGGTAACGCACTTGTAGTAACTCTTTTGCACTACAATAGTGGCACTGATCATGTAATCCGTCAGCTCGTTAGGCGACTTATGACATAAAAAAAGTCTCTCGCCCCGGGACCCACTTATGAGGATAGGAAAGGGGTGTCGTCCACACTTTTCGTGCGCCCATTGTGCCTTCCGCGGCCGGGGAAACGAGTAAAGACTCACACTAAACTCAGATACAGGTATAGAATGATGTCCTACTCAATAAAGAGGACAAGCTGGTCCTCCCAAGCTACATTCTCGGTGAGCTTGGGTTGGGCCGTGTCCCCCTTCCGCAAAGCATTGATGACACCGAGCGTCCGGCTCCATGCCTATGTGGCACAGGTACTTGCCGAACCAAACCTAAACATTGCTAATAATGTTCATTGTCTAAAGCACTGTGAGTTTGTACATACCTGTACCATGATGCATCTTTATCGTAATATACTGTATACAGTTCACCACTAACTGGATTTCCAGGAGCATCTAACTCAGTCAATTTTGGGCATTCTGTTTGCAAAGACGACATCATTGTCTGCAGGGTGTGTCTAGTACTATTTGGTTGCACCTGTGAATAGGAAGTTATTTTTAATATAAATTTAAGGAAGGGGCACCTTCGAGACTTTTGTTCATTAATTTTATGAATGAATCATCATTCGTTAGTTTCGCTATTTAGCATGCAAGTAAGACAATAAAACTAGATTTAGTAACTTAGCATTAAGCCAACCGGAGCTCTAAACATGACTCCGGTTGGTTTTTCGCTTCTCCTTGCCAAAGGTCTTCGTGTCATAGCTATTATTTTAAACTGCTTCCGTGCTTTACGCCATTCAGCAAATGAACAAAACGGACAGCGAGCATGGGTAGCTAGTTTAAGTGTGGGAGAGTCGAGCATGGGCCGAATGGGTCTCACACTCAGCTCGACTGAGACGGAGTGGTATCACGGCGTCACAAAAAACCGGCATAAAACAACACAGCGTTGTGTTTGGCCATACGAAAATGTTCATCAGAGACCCAATCCTCCGCTGCCCCGATTCCTCCCCAATGCCTAAATCTCCGAAACCCTCATCCCCAAAAGGTAGGCAACGCACTCTTACTTCCTCTGATGTTGCCATTCCGTGGGCGGAGCGCATTTGCTTACTATCAGGTAATCCGTCTACTCGTTTGCTGCCCTATACAATAAAAAGCATCTAACAAATCCTATCGCCCCGCCTAGGGCCAGAGCGGAAATAGCAACACGAATTAAACTCTTTGAAATGGCCAGTAGACTGACCGGGTGGTAAAACAGCAATATGTGAATAGTTCAAAGAAAAAACTTACCACGAAGTTCCATGGATTAGCAGCCATCGCAATATACACATCGAAGCACTTGCCAGGCGCTGGCAGCGGTGGTGGCGGTAGAGCCGAGCCAGACGAAGGGCGTTCTTCGCCGGCCATGGACAAACTTCGGAAAATACGTTCCTTCTTCTTGTGTAGTGCTTCCACGTGGTTTGTTGTGTCCTTTTCATCTTCTTTTAACTTACCACTAAAACAAACAAGTCAATTTACTAATACGTATATGAATTTGAAGGTTCAAGTTGAATTAGTACAACTTGAACTGGTCTTCTAAGTTACTTAAGCGGGTTTTATTTTGAAATTTTATTGTTAATCATGCAATGACTTCTATCACACCTGGCTTGGGCGATACGGAGTGTCATTACTAAGTAAAAACCACCCCTTTCCTTCTCCCGCCCTGAGCCGCGCCGCGGTACCTACATCATTAGGTACGCATTTACACGCAATGCGGTAGGCCAAGTAGTCAAATTCAATACTTTTACACAAATGTCAAAAACTACTGTTTTTATGAAATGACATCTATTTCAAAGAGGTTAGCATTTTGAATAGAATGAATTTGTTACAGCGCCATCTAGCATTAAGTGGCTGAACCCGTTTGTAAATAGTTTTATTTAAGTTTTTTACAGGATGGACGCCTTTGTTGATTGTGACATGTGAAATGATAACAACTTTCGCTCATTGTTATAAGACTCAATTTTTAACAACATTTAGAAGATGATTTGCTAAAGTAGCGTTTCAAGTTTTTACCCAATTATATAGCTGTTTGACATGACAATTTGATTTGCGGATGTATGATTTTGGCGACACTGGTTTTCCTTTTGAAAGAGTGTAGGGGCACTTCTACTTTATTTTCTGTTCTGTGGTCGGCCCTCACGTCATTAAGGTGGGCGTGGCTTACGTCAGTGTAATGTGGTCGTTCGTCCTGTGCACAACTTCGATATAATGTTCACTTTACTCGTCACAGAAGAAAACAAAATAAAGTCTTGTGTTTTAATTTGTAAAATATACTATGATAATCGTAGCTATGGATGGCATCATTTTACATGTATAAGCTATTTTATTCGTCATTTATTAAAATAGTTCTAGCAAAGTCTCTTATTATCAGCGTTTCCAATTATCAATCTACGCGACACTAGATGTCGACACTTTGTATCATAGAAACAAAATTTTTATAGGTACGCATAGTTCAGTATTAGTATATTTTAATAATCGTTTGTATAGTAATTTGATAATTTGATCGACATGCATACCTAAAGATCCTTTAATTGCCAAAATATTATTTATGTAACTTTTATATCATTTTCTAAACTGACAGCCATCTATTGTCAAGTAGTAAAACATAAATAAAGACAGGGCAGTAGTTAGGAGTCAATTACTTTTTTAGGTTTATAGGTATCGTTAATTTATTTAAGTCGCGAATGGAATCACTCAAATTTATCGCACCTCACCGCACGCTGTGAGTGCTAAATCATAGTGCGTAAGTGTTTGAAACTGAACGACCTTATTTATACTTCTAAAGTTCCTCTTCGGTTTTTATTTCAACCCCAAATTAAGGGCATCAGGACTTGGGTCATACAACTCAGATATGTATCGCCGGTAAGCCTATGAAATGCCTACAACACACTCTGTCCTTCGTACATATCTTTCGTTCTATTCTTCGTTTATTTCGAAATATGTCGTCACATTAGGTTTTGTTCGTTTTTCATAGTAAATAGTACCTATGACAGTCGTGAAGATAATTAGAATGTGTTATATATGGCATTTCGCATTAGGATGTGTTATATATGGAGAATCTGGCGGTATTATTAACTTTGGAATAGCATTTAACATACCACTAGTTAATTCGATGTAATGTTCGTTATTGTTCCAAAATATTGTTGAGTTATTGTTTTGTGTTTTTATGTTCCAAAATATTGTTGAGGTAAAACCGGCGAACACGACACGTAATGCAAATCAAGTGGCATTATTAAGACGATTGCTGCTACATTATTAAAAAGTGGTAAGACCGCACACTCTTCATTAGTGATTTAAAGTGCAACTTGTAATATTTCGAGAAATTCTGCTATGGCAAAAGTTTTGCAACTAACGTCAATTATTTTATGGGATGCACTCATACAATGGCGAATAAAAAATCAATAGAAGAATTTAATCGAACCATGCAAAATTTACGCGGTACTCAACAGGTTTTTGGTGGTGCTCTGATATTGCTGTCAGGGGGCTTTTGTCAAACATTGCCTGTCATTCCTCGATAAACTCCTCCTGATGAAAAACCTGTTTAAAGTCATCAGTTGTTTGGAGATATATACGAAAATTGACACTCATCTTTAGTAATAATGCGTATTCAGCTACGTAATGATGCAAGTGCCCATGAGTTTTCAAAACAATATTAGACACTAGCTTTTGCCCACGACTTTGTTCGCGTGGAATAGTGACTTCCTGTAGATTTTGGGTTTAAAAACTATCCTATGTCCTTTCTCGAGTTCCAAACTAAGTATGTCTGTACCAAATTTCACTCAAATAGGTTCAGTAGTTTAGGCGAGAAGAAAAGACAGACAGAGTTACTTTCGCATTTATAATATTAGTTTGGATTGGTGATGGCAAAATACCAATCGACAGTACCGACGGATCGGTCATTATACCAAATATTTTTATACAATTGCGCAATCTATAGATGAGTTGATTGAATGTGTTTTTCCGAATATTCTTCAGAATTGCAGGAATGATTAGTTCAGAGAACGCATTATTAGACAATAGCACCGAGGAACATTTATATCAATGCCATTCATTTTCAATAATATATCATTTGACACATTTGGAATTTTACGTAGCAAACGATTTCAAATTTTTTTTTGTTTGTTTAAATGAACATAATAATATATTTTTGATTACTTATATGTTATTATACATTTAAACGTAGTGAAGCACGTACCGGCCCACTAGTAGGTAGTTATATCGTAAATAGAGGCCTTTTCCCTTCAATACCTATGAAGATACACATGAAGTCTTTTATTTCGTCGACGAATCTCAGGGATCATATGTTTGAAGATGGCACCAGTCTAAACGCATATGCCGTTCCGAGTTACACATTAGTACCTACAGTAATGACACTCTCTCACGTCTTCACAAAGAACCAGCTATCAGCAGTGCATCAGCCTCTTGGTAGCATAGTATACGAGTTTCTGCTTCAGGCTACGCCCTTAACGGAATAACCCCTTATAAATGAAAAATATGTTACAATAAAATGGTTTTGATAAATGTAGAATGATCCTCATCACCAATAATAGTATTACTATTTCGATAAAAAAATGTATCAAGATGATTCGCAAAGGTATTTAAAAAATAACTCCCCAGTAATTCTAAGTACGTCCCTGTTGCATTCTGCATTTAGTAACATCTATTGTGAAATAGTTACATAACTACAAAACGAAGTAAATTGAATGAGAGGGTAGTTTTGCTATAGACCGGCAGATGGCAAATAAAAAATGGGCGGAGTCTAATACCCCCTCACCCTGCAAAATATCACGCGGTGTTTCTTAGGGAAATCTAATTATGACATCTCCTCTTTGTTTTTACTCCGTGATCCGACCTGCGGTTCCAAAGATTACCCTCTACATACAAACTTACAAATACCTTTTTATAATATTACTATAGATTTGTTAATAAATATCTAAAATTTAGTGTATCAATTGATCGATGAATAATATTATAGTTATTTCTTAATCTTTATTTGTATTAAAATGTCGAATTAATTTATTTTTGCCATAGGAAACTACCCAATTCCAGCTGAACATCGGTCCTAGTGGAATCCATCAGTGGTCTGATGGCTCTTTGAGGCGCGCACGGAAAGTGAGTACTTACTGTTGAAGATAATCGTATTCCATGAGGATGGCGTTATTGACGGATGCCAGGATGTTCTGCGGACCTGTGCGCACGAACAGCTCGACATGTGGCGCGTTGCCGTCGCCGGGCGCGCCGCCCGCGCCCCCCGCGGGCAGCGCGCGGCACAGCACGCGGGCGCCCAGCAGCAGGTCGCGCAGGCGCGCCACCATGCCGGCCGCCGCGCGCTCCGCCGGGCCCAGCCGCACCGACACCGCCTGCACGCCCGCATATACTGCCTTACACCACCCGTACCGTCATAACCATGAGGACATTATATTATAATAACCTATTCACTGACCTGAGGTGGAAAAGCGTTTAGAGCTGGAGAAAAGGACTGTAAAGGTACTAGAGACGATAATGGCGCTCTCAAAATTAATCCGCTGTCTACGAGCTGTGTTCTCACTGTTCCTTCACCGTCGAGTCCACTTATAATAGTGCAGCGAACCCTAGTAGTAAAACAAATTACATATGAAATTTGCGATAAGAAGGAAAAATTTAAAGGAATAAAAAAAACTGAACCAAACCACTATGAGGAAAGCACGACCTACCAATCGCCGGCGAGCGTGCGCACGATGTATAGCGTGGTGGCGTTGGGCGCGGGGGCCTGCGGCGCGGCGGGCAGCGGGCGGCGGTAGGGGCCCGCCGTCAGCAGCGCCAGCGCGCCCTGCACTAGCGCCGCGCCGCCCGCACGCGACACCCAGACGCGCCCCTCCTCCGTCACGCATCCCACCTCCACCTCGCAAGGTTTCTGAAACACACTCGCACGAGTCGCACCGATTTCTCTATTTGATGTACGCCTTTTCGTCCTAGTTCAATAGAGAAGATAAGGGATCCATTTAAGTTGTAAATAATATCGTAAACAAAACCTGTGTAATCGTGAAAGCGCCCGCGATGCAGAAATCGTGTACGATCTCCTTGTTGAGGTTCAGATCGCGTTGGGTGGAAGTATCGTAGAGCACGACGGCGACGGAAGGGTCGGTGGGGTCATGGCGCGGACCGGGCGCCGCCACCAGCACCTCGCCAGGCAGTCGCCGTCGCACCAGCTCAGCACCAAGCGTACTTGCCGCTAGTTCTTCCGCGCCTTCCAGACGGCAAAGGATTGCCTGTTTTATCATATAAACAAACTATAAAATCTTTTCTAAGATTTTCTAATTTTTCTAACTGAAAGAAAGTGCAACTCATATTTAAATTCAATGTTCAATATCCTAGTGTAGTAATCGTTATTTTAGTAGTAACTGAACTATAGTACACCGAAGCGATCAATTCAACATTTGAATAGGTGGTCTATTCAAATGAAATAATTGAATAGTATAAAATGAAAGACAAAATCATTTATTTTGATTAGACCCTTATAGTTTGTTCCATAATTAGAGACAACAATTTGACAACAGCAAATGTCAAACTACAAAATAATGTGGCCAGATTTTTTAACATAGTGATGGGCCCGAGTACCTACGATGTTTTAAATAAAATACCGATACCGTTTTTTTATAAACTACCCTGAGTATAATAAAACAACCTTGCGGTGATGTTTTTTATAGTTTATTCGAATTAATAATAATAATATAAATAAATAATATATACAAATGCGGCAACACTGACTGTCAACAAGTTGTGAAATTTTTAATACATAATATAATATTTTATACTGTTTATTTTGGACCTTTTTACGTTTTATCGGACTCAAATTTACATATTATGAAAGTTTAAATAAGTAATTAACTATTTGGTACTTACCTAAAAATATAAAATACAAAAATTATAAATAAATTCACGAAAATGACGTATGTGATGACAAATGTCAAGAAGAAAATCTGTATAAATATAAATAAAAACACTACACACTACACAACTAAACAATGTTGACGAGAGCTAAAGCAAGAGCTGCATCACAAAGGACACGCCCGCCATCTCCGACCTCGCCGCCCAGCTCCGCCCCACCATCGTCGGCACCGGATCCAGATACCGGGATACGACCGGCGACCGCAGTGGTGTCAAGTTCCAGCGACGAGTTCTTCTCCCCGCCAACGTCGCCACCACCTCCACGTCGCAGGAGAAAACGTCGGCCACCGAGTAGCTTAGGACCACGAGGCCCATCGGCCTCGGGAGGGGTCCCAGCGCCCGGTGGTAGTGTGTCGCGCATGAAATGGACTACATCCATAAATGAAAATGTTATGCGCGCATACTTTGGGGCAACAGAGGGAGGAAATAACCTGACTGCGTACCGTGTCAGAATGCTTGCTCTGTTTCAGGTGCTCGAACCATCCGTCAACGTATCTGCACAACGATTATCGGATCAGGTACGAGTCATCCAGCGGAATCGAATGTTGGAAGATGTCGTACTTGATCGACTGCGAAGTGAAGTACTAAGGAGCCGCGTCATCATTCTGCCATCACAAACTACAGAAGAGATACAACCAAACTCTACTGATGTGCCGAATGATGATAGGACTACAGAAGTAAGTACTCACACATGCAGTGATGAATTGAGGAGAACTTTGGAGGGTGCGATTCAGGAATATCGACACGCATATTTGAAACCGCGTTTGCCTCGTTTGCCTATGCATAAAAAGAATAAAGCGATCATGTGCGCTTTGGACTCACAGCTACCAACATATTTGGACAACAGCAAAGATCTCGTTGATACGCACTCAATTCTGTATTGCGCAGCTATAGCGGCTTGTCGTGTGGCAAATGTCAAATTACCAGACAACTACAATAGAGCCACACGACCAAAACCAGCTGTACCTGCTTGGCAGTGCAGGATTGAACGGCGTATTGGCGAGGTCAGAACACTTATTGCCAAATTGATCTGTTTCAGGGAGGGCAACACTCGCCCGAGGATAATGCGATTCGTGAAGAGAGCGTTTTCAGGGACTGCAATTTCGCCTCAGAATTACGCATCGCACATCACGGAGCGTGTTGACTTCCTGAAACAGAAGATTTATGCATGGGCAAACCGCATTCGCCGATACAAAAGACGAGCAGAGCGGTATACCCAGAATCGCGCATTCCAAAGGGATCAAAGGTGGGTGTATAGAAATTGGGAGCAAAAAGAACAGGCTAGGACTGACACGTGCCTACCAGATTTTAGCGCCACGAAGGCATTCTGGCGCAGCATCTGGTCGGCACCTGTTGATCACACCGAGGGTGATTGGATTGAGGAGGTCAAGGGAAAATGCGAACTGATACCACAAATGAACTCTATTAAGATTAGCACCGAAGACGTATCAAATGCAGCCTACCCGTTGGCTAACTGGAAAGCTCCAGGCCCGGACGGGCTGCATAACTTTTGGATTAAATGGTTTATGAGTTCGCATAGTCGCTTGGCGACTCAATTCCAATCAGCGTTGGAGTCTGGGTCTTTGCCCCAATTCTTTACAACAGGACTTACCCACCTGCTCCATAAATCTGGTTGTACCACGGAACCTAAAAATTATAGACCGATAACGTGTCTGCCGACGATTTATAAACTCCTTACATCCATTTTGAGAGCAAAACTTAATAAGCATATTGAAGACAATAATATCATGTCTAGCTCTCAAAATGGTTGTAGAAATGGGTCCCGTGGTACCAAGGAGCTTCTCCTCATTGACATATCCATTTGCCAGCAGGTTCGTAGGTTTCACAAGAATTTGTCTACATGCTGGATAGACTACAAGAAGGCATATGACTCCATTCCACATACGTGGCTCATGAGGGTGTTGGAGTTGTACAACGTCGACCCAACTCTGTGCACCTTCTTGAGGTCATGTATGAATCAGTGGAAAACAGTCCTTCGCTATCCAGGATGCGGACAGATCTTTGAGAGTGACGAACCCATTAAGATAGAGCGTGGTATATTCCAGGGTGACAGTTTGAGTCCGTTATGGTTTTGCTTAGCCCTGAATCCTTTAAGCACTTTGCTGGAAGGCTCAGGGTTAGGATATCGGTTAAGGAGAGGGGGACAAATTGTATCCCATCTACTTTACATGGATGACTTAAAGCTCTTTGCCCCCAACAATTCACATCTAATGAGGTTACTGAATCTGACTGAAATGTTCAGTAACGCCATTGGGATGGAATTTGGTGTGGACAAATGTGCAGTCATGCATGTAAAGAGAGGGGAGGTTGTGGAATCGGATGGAACGCAAATATCTGATTCCACAAACTTCAGGTCCCTTTCGCCATCCGATAGCTATAAATACTTGGGTATGTCAGAAGCGTTGGGCATCGATACTGCAGTCATGAAGCAAACGTTGCGGGAACGTTTCTTTGGCCGCCTGAGGAAAGTTCTAAACAGTCTTTTATCGGGCGGTAACAAGGTGCGTGCCTACAACGGTTGGGTCATGCCAGTACTGATGTACTCCTTTGGCATACTCAAGTGGACTCAAACGGAATTAGATACCCTGGATAGAAAAGTCCGTTCATTGCTGACTGAGCATCGGATGCATCACCCACGATCATCGGTAATGAGACTGTACATTCCACGGAAATGTGGAGGAAGAGGCTTTTTAAATGCCAAAGCCCTCCACAACAGTGAAGTGTGCAGTCTCCGAAACTACTTCTTAAAAATGGAAGTGGGGATGCACCAAGATGTTGTCGCTGTGGACAAAGGACTTACTGCGCTCTCCTTAGCTAACGAGAATTGGAGAAAACCTGTAGTACTCAGCACTAAGGACCGTAAGGATGTATGGCAAAGCAAAGAACTGCACGGACGCTACTATAGGGCTTTACATGGGCCAGAGGTAGACTTCTTAGCGTCCGTATCCTGGCTACGTTTCGGCAACTTATTTGGTGAAACAGAAGGTTTTGTCTGTGCAATTATGGACGAAGTTATGCTGACGAACAATTATCGAAAATATATTATAAAGGATGGTACGGCTGACATCTGTCGGGCATGTCATCGCCCAGGGGAATCCATCCGACATATAATTTCGGGTTGTTCTCACCTAGCTAATGGAGAGTACTTGCATAGACACAACCTCGTGGCCAGGATTATCCACCAGCAACTTGCTTTAAAATACAAACTTGTTGAATCTGAAGTGCCGTACTATAAGTATCTGCCTGACCCAGTCCTCGAGAATGGAGATGTCACACTGTATTGGGATCGAACTATCATCACTGATAGGACAATTGTAGCCAACAAACCTGACATTGTGATGATAGATCGATCTAGCCGTCGCACAATGATAATTGATATAACAATCCCACATGACGAGAATCTTGTGAAAGCTGAAAAAGATAAAGCAAGTAAATATCTTGATTTAGCTCATGAGATTGTCGACATGTGGGATGTAGACTCAGCAATCATTGTGCCGATAGTCGTGTCTGCCAATGGTCTCATGGCTAAAAGCCTTGATAAACACCTAAGCAGGCTTACGTTAGATGGTTGGGTCAAGAATCTGATCCAGAAAGCTGTACTTCTAGACACGGCGCGCATTGTCCGGAGATTCCTTTCTCTGGAACCCTGACCACCGGTTGCTTGGAACCCTCCCGTAACCGGTGGGATACTGCTTTTTATATTTTTAAGTGTTTTTTTTTTTGTTTTATGAAAATATTTAAAAATGTAAAAATCAAGTTTTAAAATAAATAAAAAGATAATATAAAATAAAAATGCGAAATCCAAGACTGGCTAAACGAAAAACATTATATTTGCTGAAAGCCGAGCTGTTGGAGATTTCCCGGAAAGAGAAGAGTAATTATGAACGATACGTCGTGGACCGATGGCTGCTAAAAGGGGGGACACTATTTTACGGTTGCTTCCTTACCATTGTGATTTTAACCCGACTGAGTTAGTATGGGCACAGGAAGGTACCAGGGAAAGTAGCTAAAAATAATAAAGCTTTCAAAATGCACGAAATCCAGAATTTAATTTCGGTCTTTCGGTCAATACCGGTCGCGGGACTTCACTATTTATGAAATGGAAAAAACTTGCAACACTCGAAATGTCAAATCGTTGTCTCTAATTATGGAACGAACTATAGGCCTCGTCCTAATTGGGAGCAATCGTACGATGGCGCGATGCGTTCTCGTCGTGCGATGAGTTCAAACATACAGATAACATCAGAGTGTCCTGTTTGAATCTCGCAAGTGATCGTACGAGCACCTGAAATGCTTAAAAACGATCGTACGATGAGTTTGATCGTGCGATCACATTGTGAATACATATGTTGGCCACTTTATGAATACAATCGCTACGCAATTCATTGCAGATGTAGTCAAATATTTCTTTTCACATAGAAAAAAATAAGGGTTGAGAAATTCACAGCGCAGATCCCGCAGATTTATATTGTCTACGTTTCTTTTGTTCAATGCCAATTGCAATTTTTATAGTAATATTGCCCGACAGCCAAAACTGTGCATCTCTGTTAAAGTGGCGCCAGCCATCGTGCGACGGCATCGCACTATGGACATCGCGCTATCTATTAGGACACATGTTTAGGTCATCGTACGACCACTTTGATCGTGCGATGAAAAACATATCGCACCATCGTACGACCAATCAGATTCAGATTCTTTGTTACATTATTAAGTTGGTTCTCACATAGAGAACATTGTAACACTAATATTTATTCAAAGGACAATAAACAGTCCGGAGCTAACCAGTCCCAATTGAACATGAAACATGACACGTACACCAGCAAAGCCCAAATCAACAATATTATAGGGAATTGAGCGAACCAGTGCCTGCCTCCGCCAATGAGAGGTTTGTGTAAGTATGACAACTCCAAGCTGACATAATCATTCAGCTTGTTATATGCTTGGAAAACTGAATTGTTGTGTTATGAACCTTCGTAATAGCATTATTTACGTCACCGTGATTTACTTTAAGTTCGTTTATTTATTTTAAATGTGTTATCCAGCAAATAATCCCTGGTTCATGTTGAAATAAATGGCGTAAATCAAACGATTTGCCCAAATCATACAAGTTTATGTTCACCAAAAAGAGGAAAGGATCTAATATTTAGACCTGCGATACCTACGCCCATAGTTATGCACCCTGAGAATTCGCTTTATTTGCTTGTACTTTGAGCTGCCTATTCTTTTTTTTTTTTAAGGGAAAAATAGTCAAATGTCTTCTCCCACCCAGGGCGGGGCGGGAAAAAGTATCACACTCTTACTGACTAAAAACCCCCCTTGATCCTTCTCCTGCTCTAGGCAGAGGTTGCGGTGTCTTATTGCGCATGCCTCGTAACCCCGTCTGAGCCCTATAGGGTCCCGTCTGTGATGGTCTATTGGCTCTTTGAGGCGCGCGTGGAACGCAACGTGCCGTACTCGTAGTCGGGCCTGGTTCTAGTAGGGCGGCGAGGTATCCTTTTCCTCACCGTCCCGCTGACGTCCCGCCGACCCGCTCTAACGGTGGCCGGCGATCATCAGGTAGTTCACTAACGCGCTCCGCCTCTGTCATTACGAGCACCACTGCTTCGCAGAAAGAGTAGACGGCTGCCCAGTTCCGATAGCTCCGTACCATGGCCTCGAATAAGGAAGGGCGCTAGTAGTCGCCGCCGCCGATCACTTCCCTGAGGACACTGCGGTGCTCAGCCAAAGCTGGGCACACCGCCACTGTTTGCTCCACTAAGTCTTCTGGGTGGTCCTCTAATAACGACACCGAGGCGTTTCCTCCCGCTGCCTATCTTGAAGGTATAATTTTAATAATTTGAGAGATGCCCCTCGAATGTGTCGTAGTGTTTTTCAACAACAGTGTCTCAATCAAAAGCCTTAGACAGATCACATAATATTCCAATAGCGTCGGCATAAGACTTACACCGGCGTCAGTTGTGCGTCGTCCCTTGTTGAATCCGTTTTGTTGGTCATGAAAGATGGAATTTAAGTTAGTGCCGTAGTATCTGAGAAAGCATCAGCTTTTCAAACACCTTACTAAGCACTGGTTAATTAGGTTTTTTTTTTAAAAGCTTGTTATTTTTTTTTTCTTTGCGTCGTAGGTGCGTTTAAAAACATACAATTTGACATACAAATCAATATATATAGCTTTTTTAAAAGACCTACACACAATACACACTACAACCGATATTCCCCGTAGATAGAGGTATCTTTGGGGAATATCCGTTGTGGTAGATTGGTGAGTGGTGGGTTGTGATAGGTTTTTAGTGTCTTTAAATGCCTTTAATACTGGTTGGGGGTTTCTGTACTGAAATTGAAAATGAGAACGGCGTTATATGAAATTGATGTTATTATTGTTTCGTAATCGTCGTAGGCAGCCTTAAAAAAACGCCGCTTTTCTGTATTAAAATGTTATTTGAATGATCCTGACATGCTTTTGTCACTAGCGTTAGTGATCAACCAACTTACGACAAGCTTAATTTAACTTGGCTCGAAATTCATGTGATTCAAGAGTTCGACAACCATAATAATTTTATTGCCACATAAAGGTCACGTATCAAACAAGACATTAATTTCCAAAATGTATTTTAAATCAGAAAATATATTAAAGCATAAAGTTTAAACATAACAAATCTAAAGTTAATTTTGTAGGATAAAGGACACTACATTAATTAATGTTTACAACTTAAAACATCACAACATATACGTACGTGATAAACGCGACCGGTATTGTACGAAAGACCGAAATTAAATTCTAGACTTCGTGCATTTTAAAAGCTTTATTATTTTTAGCTACTTTCCCTGGTACCTTCCTGTGCACATACTAACTCAGTCGGGTTAAAATCACAAAGGTAAGGAGGCAAAAGTAAAATAGTGACCCCCTTTTAGCAGCCATCAGTCCACGACGTATCATTCATAATTACTCTTCTCTTTCCGGGAAATCTCCAACAGCTCGGCTTTCAGCATAGGTTCCTCATTAATATAATGTTTTTCTTTTAGCCAGTCTTGTATTTCGCATTTTTATTTTAAATTATTATTATTAATTCGACTAAACTATAAAAACATCACCGCAACGTTGTTTTATTATACTCAGGGTATTTTATAAGAAAACGGTATCGGTATTTTATTTAAAATATCGTACTCGGGCCCATCACTATGTTGAAAAATCTGGCCACATTATTTTGTAGTTTGACATTTGCTGTTGTCAAATTGTTGTCTCTAATTATGGAACGAACTATAGTTGATTTCAGATCGCTCCCCTATTGGACAACATTGACAGTTCTTCTGTCTTTTTTAAAAGTTTACTTTTTTTTTAGGGTCAGTCATCAAATGGCATTACTTTATTATACAATAAGACTTTGTAAAGAAAATTATATATAACAACATAATCCTTTTTTATCAAATTTGAAATAAGAGGCCGAACTAAAATCCAAAATACATGTTAACATGGCGTCTATTTAATATTGCTGTAATATCAATGAGTGATCGAAATTATTACCTGTGCTGGAAGTTTTCTAAACTGTGGCTCTAATATTTTGATTTTGTGAATGTACACGACATCGTCATCGCCATGATCACCCAGAAACACAGTCGCTGAGTCTTCCTCTATTTCTAATATCTTTGCTCGTTGCCAGCCACCATCATCTAAATTAACAGCATACCTGTAAGGTTAGCTTAGGTTATTTTTTTTTTATTACATTAATATCAACTTTGAGTAAGACGCACAATAAAGTATCATACCAAGCATTTTTAATAAGCATTGATTTGTCGACAGGTGATCCACCATGCTCATAATATTTTGACATTTCAGCTAATAGTGTTTCAAATGTATCCTGAAACAAAATTTATGTATTGATCATTACTAGGTTTAGATTAAATAATACCTTTATGACCGCATGAATCATGTTAGTATGCGTAATTAACTTAGAGACACAAACAATTCATATAAACTAAAAATTATTAAAATTTAGACCACATAATGTACTACCTAATGTAAGCAAAGAAAGACCATATCGGACTACGCTCAGTGTAGGGTTCCATAGTTTCTCGTCTGTCACTATAAGTGTCCTCACGAATTATTGTAAATCTTAGCACCGCAATTTAGCGTACCGCAAAACAGGGTGAATAGAATTTTAAGAGTGAATAGACACACGTAAGGGGTAAATAGGTGTTGGCGACTTTTCCTTGTATCTATTCCCCGTCTTCTGTGTCTATTCACCACCTGAGTTCTATTCACCCCGTTGCATCGTTAAGTAGCAAAACTACAGCGCCATCTTTAAGAGATTTGAGTTACTTATTTATACACAAAAGGAGTGTATATTAAGTTTTTAGTGATAATTTTGGATTGCGAAAACCGCTTTTAATAATTCTGTATTTATTTGAAAGATGTTGATGTGACGTTCAGAATAATCTTTATATATAAAAATTTTATGTCACGTGCTTGTCCGCGATGGACTCCTTAACTACTAAACCGATTTTAAATTTGATTTGCATTCCGTGTACATTTTGATCCAATTTGAAAGATACGATAGCTTACACCTCAAATTATAGTCACTATATTATTTATCTTAGCCACAGGAACGCGTGGCTGGGTCTGCTAGTAAAATATAGAAACAAAGTTTAAAAAAATGCTTGAATATGCGGTTAAATTATAAAATTAGTTCACATATTTTTTGTACATTAGATAAACTATTCAAAATAATTATTCTAGATAGTATTTATGATGTTCTACTTTCGAGACATTTATTTTGGGTTTTCCATAATTTGTAGACGCTTTTTTCTACTATTATTTCCGAAAATATTAACATTAACAAAATTTTTGAAGTAAACTGCTATTCATTTTTAAATAATTATTCGACAATATATCACACTTTAATTAATAGGGTTGAAATAACGAAAGAACGCAGAAGAAAAAACGCACTCCGGACTGTTCCCTAATAAAATATTTTTGTTTTTTTTTTACCACTTTGTCGGCGTGATTGATATACTTATTGTCCAAATCAAGGCTTTGACTTTGATTTCGACTTTTGAAACGTCAAACTAGAATAGTAGTCACTATGTTCGTCAGTGAAGCTGGGTGCTCGTTCCAAAGTGTAGATTCGAATAAAGAAGAACGAGAAAGAAACACCAATGTTATAAAATAATAATAAGTATTTGTTTTACATTTTCACTAATACATTATTTAGTATGCATTATTGTACCCATATATGACAGCAATGCAGAGACTGTGTGAAGTTGTTAAAAAAAAGAACAAATGACGCGATCTATCATTAAATTTTAAATCCTCATCATCTCGCTCATGGCGCTCACATCTGCATGCTGACAATCCAAAAGAATGCTTTTGTACAAACTCTAAGTTTAAATTAAATAATAAAATAAGAATGTTTGATGCAACACGACAAGTAAGGTATCATTAATTTTAAGAATTTTAGTAACTATTGACTACCTATATTTGAGTAATGTCCAATGGAGCTGAACCAACATACTGCAATACATTATTATCGTCAATATAATCTGACAGATTTTAGTATGCCTGTCTACACGATTCGCGTATAATATAAGTTTTGAATTTTCGTTCATTACCATTTATAAAACACACTATTTGAAATAATATTGTCACAATGTACACTTTTTCTTTGAACAACCAGCCTATCTTTGCCTCTAGTATTAAAATTATGTCTATGGCTTCTTTTTTCAAATAATAGCAAATTTTTCCTCACGTTCACAGCAAAAATCCGTACGACATAATGCTGTGACAATTGCTAAAATAGACAAGCCTTGCTGTGCTACGTTCGTGCCATCTAATCTGGCTAACTGCCACAACAACTGCACTTGGACATACCTTAACTTAAGAACCAGGAACATCAATACGCTTTTCTTGACGTGGGATCCTTATTGCAGTTTATTGTTTAACGTGATAACCTAAGAACATTGTATCGTGGCAAACAGCACCATTTTTGGTTCAGTATTAAATAGAAGTCATTTACATGTACTAAAAAAGAAACGGACCTAATATCGAACCCTGCGGAACGCCCATTCTGGTCTGAGTGCCCTGTGATTTAGAACCGCCTACATGAAAACTCGGTTGCGGATCCTCTAAATATGATTTTATAGACGGAGAGCAGTGTGTTTAATTTCGTAATGATCTAATTTAAGCAAGTGCTTCATTATTAACGCAATCAAACGCTTTTGAGAGGTCGCAGAAGACATTAACAGCATCCGGTGCTTCTTTTAATATTGTACAACAACCTTCAGTTAAACCGTATTGTTGGTAATGGCAGGTTGGTAATTGGTGCCACATTTAAGCTTTCTAGTGTTAACGGTCACTGAGATTATCCGCGGACGGACAGACATACAGACTGAAAGCCAGACATGGCGAAACTATAAGGGTTCCTAGTTTACTACAGAACCCTTAAAAGGAACAATTTAATTTCAGGTTTACTAATACCTACCTTGTGTGCAAATGAATAATGATATCTACTTTCACCTCAATAACACAAACAGACAATACAGGTCTTTCTTGACCAAATGGTAATTATCGTACTATCAAAGGACAGTACAAAAAGTTTCCTAGATATTTTTAATTTTCACTTACGCTGTATTGTGATCCAATGATTCGAAGCCAAATTTCAAGTGTTGAATTTGCGACGGTCACAAATACATTCCAAAAATCATCGTCGGGGAACTGCAAAGGCGGAAGATCGCTATCCATGGAATCGTCATAAATAGTAGTTTCTAATTGTGGTATAGGAACCTCCTGTGAACAAAAATACATAAAAGAAGTGAAAGATTCTCTCGAGCGAAAGGAATGCATATGGTCAATTGGGTTGTTTCCTTAGACAAAAAGAAATTATTGCGACTTTAATAATATAAATTCATGGATTGCGACATAGAATTTATCGTCTACTAAAATAATAAATAACACAAAGTACACATACATGCTATATTTGAAAAACATTCAAAACTAGAATTACATAGCTTACCTCTTTATTAGGAAGTAACACTAATAGTCCATTAAAAACTCTATCCTTTATTATTTTAGGGCAATTTTCAACTAATTCTTGCCAGTTGCTTGGTAGGTTTTCTTGATATTTTTCTCTAAAAGAAAAACACATGATTTAACAATAACGAAAAACAAGTTATTTAACACTTTAATGTTTGCCGGTGTATGAGACACAATAAAAAACGCATTGTGTCTCCGTAGATCTGCAATCACGGATTAATTCTCCACAAAGTTGACACAAAAAAACAAATGCCATAAATTCATATGCAATTCATTGGACTAGCAAGTGTTTAATGGTTTACTTTAAGACAGATTTTCAAAAGATACATTCCAGAATCAGCTTCCTTTGAATATTAAGTAAATAAACATAAATATTGCACCTGTACAGATGTGGTACTATATAGGCCCACAGCCCTGCTTCATGTTCTGACACCAACTCGGTTAAGTATACAATAGCATTGCTGCTTGAAGAAGTTGGCTTTCCACCAGCTTCGGAACTTTCTATAGCCGAAAGAAGCTTCACTGCCCCGACTTCTTTAGCTAAATCTTCAGATGGTGACGAATCAGGATAAGAGGAAACACTATATGATCCTCCGACCTACGGATGAACAATGCAGTATGAAACAAGCTTCTGGTTTACAATAAATATTCGAATGTAATAAACAATATTTTATTCAATAAAATAAATTTAAGAACTGGCCAGCCTTAAGCCTTAAAAGTAGATATAATGTAGGTTCGCAAAATGTATGAGCCCTGTTTTTTCTTTTATTTAACTCGCTGATGATCAGCAAAGTTCGCTTTGTGAAGCGATAAAGATTTATGTATATTATTTTGAACCTTCAAGTTTTTTTATGTTTGGTAATAGGTTGGCAAAGAACGGTCGGATTACCTGATGTTAAGCAATCGGCCCTGCCAATAAATACTCGCAATACCAAAAGAGTTACTACGAGTGCGTTGCCGGCCTCTTGGTTGTTAGTGATTTACGGATAGGTGATTTGAGGAGAGGGTGGGGGGGAGGATTTCGCCCCCGTTAACACGGTAAAACAACGTAAGTATTGCTTTACGCTGGTTTTCTGTGAGGCCGTAGTATCATTCCGGTACGAGCTAGCCCACTCGTGCCGAAGCATGGCTCTCCCACAATTTTCGTATTATTGAGTGAATTTGCATTTTTAACAGTTGACTGTGCCTATCCATGGAAGATATTTTCTGCGCTAGGTAAAGGTTATATTTGGAACGTAAATCAAAATGTATTGATTTTGGCTATCTATCCTAAATTCCGAAGTTATTTTGAAGTTTTTTTTAATTTTTGGGGTGAAAAACCGATATAGCTAGGTTCCATATTTTACAGAAAAAAAGACAACCAAGGATAGCTCTACCATCCAGCATAGTTTGCGTGTGCGAGTCCCGCACGCGCTTAAAATAGGCAAGCACACTCTGTTTAGGTGGCTATTATTATAAAAAAATATTGGTAATAAAAAATATAAGTACCTAGTTTACAGAGAAAAAGTTATGATAAGTAAGAGAGACTTTTCAGTCATCAAATCATTTTATTTAATTTAGTCATTCCATGTCTAAATTTAAAAAAAAGATTTATTAGCATTTAAAATTGTTCAGTGTTTTGCTAACAAAAAATTAGACCAGCAATGTAATTTTGTGTGTGAGAGTATATAAGAAATATTTACTTTAACTGTGCAGTCGAAGGTCACGGGTCCCCTTTTAGGCTTATACTCATACACCTTGTACACAGGTTCTGGAAGTCCAAGCTTTTTACAAGTCCACGCTAATTTTTCAACAGATGATGTAGAATCGGGAGGTGGTTCTAAGTTGTGAGCTGGCACAACATTTGTTACAGGACCACTGCTTTCCTGAACAAACATTCTTCAATCAGTGAAATATATTAAATGATTACAGCAAATTTCTAAATAATACAAGTTATATTATTAAAAAGGTTATCTCTACTATATTCTACTCCTCATTAGGTATTTTATGTGCCCCAGTAGTACCTCAATATGTTGGTTATTACAACTATTTAAATGCGAGCATGACTGTTATTTTTACATACCAAACATTCGTTATTAGCAGCAGGCAACTGCAATGGTATAAGATCCACTGTATTAAGTCTGTCTCTTAAATTGGAAAGTCTTTGCGATGCTGATACTTTTCCACTATATTTAACATCCATGTCATTATTTGGTCGCACTGGTTGCTTCAACTAGGTATAAAAATACATTAAAATTAATAAAAATATAAAATTTCAAATTTATGAAATATGTCTGATCACAAACTAAGTTCAGGAGGGTAGTAGGGTAATCTAATAAAGTTTTTTTATTATTATACTAGATTTTCATATACCCACCTCTTCATTATGTGTGTTGTTGGATTCTCTCAAACTTTGCGATGAATTGGAACTTTTCAGTACTTTATCTACATGGTCATTTGCTGACTTCGTTGTTTGTTTAACATTCGCCGTTATTTTACTTTCGTTCGACTTACTCGAATTGTATTTATTAGTCTATTAAAAAAGAAAGTAATTATTAAACTTTTAATTTTGCTTATTTTCGTATTGAGTGAGTTAAGAGGACTGTTTAGGTCCATTGTATTTTGTTCAAAACACCATCATAAATAAAATGTAAAGGGTGTTGTCTTGTTACCAACAAGGAGCCAAGGGACACAAAAACAAGGCTTTTAGTAAATCTGCAGGTTTTTTTTAATACAATTACAAAGAAGCGTTTAGTGTAGTTCCGTGCGGGAATCGAACCCGCGATACGTTGTACAGCAGCCAGTTTCTCAGCCACTACGCCAACATGTCAAACAGATTTAGACAAATATAGAGGGCATTGAGAGCAGTTTATTATCGCGACATTAAGCGTCAAAAGCGCGTTTGCATCGCGTCTATATCGCTGCAAACCAACCAAAGAAACAAGAAGAATTATAAAGATTTAAATGGACCTAAACGGGAAAAAAATGTTTTATTTATTTTAGAATAATATTGTACAAAAACACATCGATCAGCGATATTATAGCGATATATTACGTTGATACATCCTTACTTCGGAAGCGAAGTATTCTTAAAAATGACGTGAGATAAAAAATAGTGTTATGGCGTAGTTTGTCATTCAATCACATTGATTGTCGTCTCATAACTGTCATAACAGTGTAATACAATTCTGTAAATTAAGGGAAGGAATTTAAAGGAGGATGTGTATTTTTGAATTAAATTTCAATGTTAAGGATATTTTGTTTTGGAAAATGGTTATGAAAATAAAAATATAATTACATATCGATGTAGTATTGGAATCCTATTTCTTTCGTAGGTATTTGCGTGGAATTTGTGGCGTGGTGTTGAGGTTCGGTTTGTTTTTGCTCCGGGCGGTCAAAAGGTTAAAGCTACTAATTTATTTAAATTTTATTGCAGAAAAAGAATCGATTTCCTGGGTGAAGCCATATTTGCGATTTAGTGTTAACACTTTACTTTAAAATTTACTCTGTGCAAACCATTTTATTTGAAGCCAGTAGCAAATCTATTTTTTCCAACATCTTGGAAGTTCAATTTGGATTGACTTAAAAGGGTGACATCATATAGCAAGAATTTATGCTTAATCAAACTAACCATGTACAGATATTTTTTTTTTTTTTTTTTTACAGACTTTTATACGTGTATTGCAAATAAAATGATAGCTTGGTGTTAATGCCAAAAAAATTTTTTAGAAATGAACATCCTACTACTATTTGTGCAACAAATGTGCAAATGCAAGATTTTTCATTACCTTATAATGTTGAGTGTTATTGTTGAATGGAGTGCTGCCTTTAGCTCTATAATATTGGTTAGAGTACTGGTTATTGTAGTTAGATACATATCCAGAAGAAGGCTTTCTCCATGATCCTTGTTTTTTGGGAAACCGATTCTGCAATGAAATATGTTTACAAGTTTATTATATGTATATGATTCCCTGTATGTTGGTATAACTATTACATTGTTGCCATTAAGTTTTTAAAGTTAAAACATAGGTACACTAAAAATATTTAGAGAAGCTAATTTCATAAAGACTGATCCGAAGTGAAAGTAATAATATCATAGTTTTGAATATACTGCAAAATCCAAAGATTGTAATCATTTTTCATTAACTTACTGGATAGCTTAATTTTGGAGCCTTTTTACTCGACTTTTGACGTGAGACCATAGCGGCTATATGCTGGGTTTCTTGACTAGCTATGGCATCAACATACCATTCACCATTGGCTTGAGTCACTTTAAAGCCAGGGACATCAAGAAAAAGTTTATCCAATGATGAATAACCAAGCTTCTTAAATGGAATCCATTCACCTTGCAGCTCTCGATAGTCCCCTGTTTAATTTGTAAATTTTGTTAGGTCAGGTAAAATTACTTTTAATCTATTATTTTACATAGTCAACAATAATTAAATTTTTCCAAGGACAGTCACGAACATGCAGGACCTTTTGCTTACTTGGGATCAACCTCCTAATAATCTTGTCAGTGAGGTACTGTCACTACAGTCTTTAATCAGTCAGAATGAATATTTTTCTTTGCCCATGAATCTGTGACTGATACATACACATGTGGGGCCACCGGAGGGCCACAGCGCTGGAGCCCTCATAGGAACCCTGCAGCATGCAGTAGATGCTGCTTGCTTGCTTGCATGTTGTCATGTGTAATTATTATTATGGGGCTTAAATTTGTCTAATAGTTATTATGCCATTTAAATATTGTGTCTAATAATAATACTTATGCCATATCTTAGGCATCTCAAATTCGGGTAATTAGTATGTCATATGTCTAGGATCATAGGGTAGGGTCTCTAAGGCAAATGAAATTCGAGAAAATGATAGTTATGGTTATGGTTCGAGCAAACCATTTACAACCTATTGTAAATAAATCTTATGCCTTGACTTTGCACCACCTAAATTATTTTATCATGTCCATAATAAAAGTCATGGGCATCATTTCAGAGAAATGTGGTAAAGCGTGTGGTACTTACTGTTACATTGCTTTATTGTCAATGCTCCTTTAACTGATATCAGAGTTGCTCTGAGAGCTTGGATAACTTGTTCTTTGTCAGCCATGGTAAGTTACCTGCAAAGGAAGTTTTAGCATTTCGTTAAATAGAAAAAAAGAAAATATAAACTTAGCTAATATTTATCATCTATTCTACTTTATTTGTTGGATGTTAAACATTAAAATGATATATACCTTTATATTGTGTAACTATTTGGTATACATAAAATACAAATGAATAAAAAATACAGTGAATTACAAAATAGAACAACGAGTATATGTATTACCAGCTGCTCATTTATTACTGATCAACTCGTAGCATTAACACGACACTGCCAGTATTTAAATAAATGTTGATATAAAACTAAACCATATTTTATAAAAAAAAAAATGTTTTCTCGTCCCTTTCGTAAATTCGGTGCTAATAGTAAAACTGGGTAAAATAACAAATATATTTTTATAAAATACCTGCGACAAAGTAAATGCCGGTGTTGAAGGCGTCAGGAAATAAAATCGTCAAGGGACGTTTGGAATATCTAAATGCCAACTATATATATTAAACTGTATTGAATTATTAATGACAACAAAATAAATATAAACTTTTTGAAACTATATGACGCGTAAGCAAGAGAAATCAGTCCTTGTTAGCAAATATTGTAAACAGTACGCACACCTACTTTCACTTCAGTAATAAGGTACCTATTACCTATAATAATATTCACCCGTTAACTACAATATGAATATTAAATTTCTTACCCAAAAAAAAACTAAATTTCAAAATTAGGAAACTTCATCAAAATGTTCAATTAAAATCCTTTACCCCTTCCTTTTTACGATCTCAAGCACTTTTTTTCTTTTAGCCTATCCTTGGTATTGCCATTTCGAATCGCAAATATTATATTCCAAAATTTAAGTGTTGCCACTCACTACTAATGTGTATTTATCACCGGAAAATAACAAGATCCGTAAGTTTATCAATTTACTAGGAAGTTTATAAACTTTCGTAAGATTCTAAACGGGAGATAAATTGTAATATTTTACGTCCACATTTTCGTAAATTTATCAATTTCCGACGTCATACGGTAAATATATAAAATTGTCGAAAATGTGGACGTAATATATTACAATTTATCTCCCGTTTAGAATCTTACGAAAGTTTATAAACTTCCTAGTAAATTGATAAACTTACGGATCTTGTTATTTTCCGGCGACATGTTCAAACCTACTAAATAAGCACGTTTATTTTAGCGTTGGTACAGCTTGGCAAAAAAGAGTATGTGTTCAGCTATTGTGATAAAGATGTGCGCTCCAGAGTCCACACCAGTCTTAACACGTCTTTTTCGGCTGTCATACTCTTCAGGCGTACTGGCGGCGTCATGGGAGTTGATGGGAGACAGCTTTAATCAATCCAGTCCCTAAAAAGGTGATGGTACAAGTCCGTCCAATTACAGACAGACCGATAATGGCTATCAGTCAGTATCGGTTCCTCATCTGGGAAATAATGGAGTCAATCTTTGACTGCCAGCTCTTTCGGTACTTAGAGGATCATCGGCTTCTTAGTGCACGACAGTACGGTTTCCGTAATTGTCGGTCCACGGGTGATCTTCTAGTTTACCTGATATACCACAGGTGACCGAGTCATGTGGGATAACAATGGCCTTCAGTTTGGATGTTGCGAAGGCTTTCAATCTGGTAAGGCATTGCGTGCTTATTTCGAAGCAAACTTTCTAAGGGTTGCACGAGAAACTGTGTAAATGGGTCTCCAACTTCCTTGCAGACAGAAACATCGGTGGCGGTATTTTCGAAGCAACTGCAGCCAGTGTTATTTTATTTACAGCATGGTACAATGGTACTTTAATTTTCTAAGTGTATAAACAAAATTATTCATTTGAGAGAATAACATACATATCGGCGTGTGGTTGCCATTTACAATTCCTGTCCAACATTGTACCCAAAAATTCGGTTTCGTGTATTGTCTCTATTAGAATATTTATAGACAGTAGTTGTGGACCGACTCCAGAAAGAGAACAGTGCACCTGTAAGTATTACTGGTCGAGCTCGAGCCCCTGCTGAGAAGGCTCTTCAATGCATACTGAATACGTAAACATATGGCGTGGTTATAACAAATGGAAATCAGCCAAAAGAAATCGGCAGAAATTGGCACACAGCATTTTCCTAAGCCTCAATCTTTCTAAAATATTTCTATGCACCGGCAAAAGCTTCTACGCTAATATCTAAATCTGTGAACGCTTTAGTAACTGATGTGCTTTATCTGGCTTGAATAGATTAAAGTTTATAAAATCAGAAGGACATTTATTGCATAACTCCTAAGAGTACGTCAGAGTGTTGGAGAAGATTTTAACGCTTCCGTAGTTTCGAATTACACATAATCATCTATAGAATTTGTACTAATGCATCCCTTTGCGGTTCTCGTAACGAACATGAAGTTCAAATAACTTTTCATTATGGTATGGATAACTGGTGTAGTTCAATCACAGAATGCTGCTTGGGGAAGGAGAGGTATCCCACGGCTATTAAAGCGATCCCGGAAGATTTGAAGTTTGACTGTACAGTCAAGATCCCTACTATCTTACTGAGATACATCCTTCCCCCGAGTCTGCTGTTATTATTAAATGAGAAAAACTTAAAACAAACATATGTAATGATTATATTTTTATCTAAGAATATATATTCCATAGACAAAGTAGAGTTTTGTAAAAAAAAAACAAATATATCCTCCTTTTTTATTATGTTGGTAAAACTGTGTTTTAAACAAGTAAGCATAGAGTAAAGAATAAGATGAAAACCACTTACAAGTATTAATGTGGCGCCACTCGCCAGCGACACATATAATATATATCCAGCTTCTCTTATTGCCTACTGAGTGATTGAGTTACAATTTGAACTTAATATAACAATTAAAAATATTTCTTCTTGCAGGTTTGTTTTCGAAAAGTGGCAATTATACTTCTACTAAGTCTATGACTCACATAGATCATAGACTATAGAACTTTGTTCCATGCGTTCATAGCTGGTTCCGTTCGCCATCTTGCATTTCTTCAAACGTCACCCTTTCCTTTGGTGAGCAAGGTGTGTTCACGTGAGGTTGTGTGTTCCCTTTAATAGTAGGTCACACAATCCTCAGAATTTCGTGAAATATTCTTGTAAAATAAAAAAAAAAACAAAAAAATTCATAAAATCCAAAAAAATAGTAAAATAATAAAAATTTAACGGGAATCACTTGATTTTAAGTTAGTGTACGTAAGCGTGCAACGTGGTCTGAGGAATGCGATAGTCATTGTAAAGAGAAAGTGAAGTTGGTCTTTGCCTACATTAAGTTAATGTCGACGTAAACCGCTGCAGTGAAATATTCATAATGAATCCTGGTCCACCCAATTACCCAATGGCATCTCTGTATGTCGGGGATTTACACTCCGATATTACTGAGGCCATGTTGTTCGAAAAATTTTCAACCGCTGGTCCGGTTCTCTCAATACGCGTTTGTCGCGATATGATAACTCGTAGATCCCTTGGCTATGCGTATGTAAACTTTCAGCAGCCTGCCGATGGTGAGTACCTTTTAAATATTTTTCTTCTATTAATTATTTTCATTTATTTCATATACTAGACGCTAAGCACTGAAGATATATAATATATATCTTCAGGCTATATTATAGCCACTTACTTTTTATTTTTTCACATTGGCTATTGATTGACATTATATTTCTAACTTTTTAAAGAATTATTGCGTCGTTATTTTTAAGCACTTTTCTTTACTGAACTCGTTACTTGCTGTTTCTTCAGTGCTTAGCATCTAACATGCATATGTGTACAACGTTGGTCTTAAATCAGTTCATATGTGCACATCTATGTGTACACCCACTAATAACACCAATGGTTTTTTTATCTCTTGTTAAAATTGATAAGCTCACTGAATGTTTTAGATTTAACTATGCTAGTGTATTGGAACACATACCATCTGGAAAGTCATTGTAGTTAATTTGAAATAGTTTAAGTTTTAATTGCATTGTTTTTACACATACACAGCATTTTTGAAATGTTATCTTCAATTTATTATATTGAAATCATAAAATGATTGGCGGATCACACCAAAGTTCACATTTCAATTTATCTTCAATTAAAGCATGTGTTAGTTTAGTCATTGTACTGTCAATACATATTTTATGTCATCCTTACTCCTTCAGTTAATAATTATTTCTTATGTTCAAAACAAAAGTGGTATTCCTGCATACTAACATAAACGAAACAGCAAATCCCGGTATACTTGTTTACCAAAGCTAGTTTAGTCATGTTGAGAACCTTGTTACAATTGTTCTTAGTTATACTGACAGGACATAATTAATAACCAATATTTAAGAAACCATTTGTGATAGATTTTGAATTGAAAAAATGTTTTTAATTTCAACCCAAAAACAACAACAACAACATCAAAACTGACATATTAAAAATGTAGGAGTGAGAAATTTAAAATTGTGGGAATTTTCTAAATCATTAATGCAGTATTTTCACCAAAGAAAAGCATATATGGCAAAAATTGATTAAGTTATTTATAGCCTAAAATATCATCACTAGTGTTGTTTTTCTGGTCAATGTTACTTTCTTCACGCTTGTTTATTTTCTGGCATCATATTCATTTAACATGAACTAATTACAGGTCTCATTAACCTGACTATACACCTCTTAGAGCATGACCATCTATTTACCTTTGTAAATATTATTCAGTGCAGTAAACTACTTTTTATATTTGTTACAGCTGAAAGAGCTTTGGACACTATGAATTTTGACATGATCAAAGGAAGACCTATTAGAATCATGTGGTCCCAACGAGATCCATCTCTGCGTAAATCTGGTGTAGGGAATGTATTTATTAAAAATCTTGACAAAACCATTGACAACAAGGCTATGTATGACACTTTTTCTGCCTTTGGTAATATTTTAAGCTGTAAAGTTGCTCAAGATGAGACTGGAGCTTCTAAAGGATATGGCTTCGTTCATTTTGAAACCGAAGAAGCAGCTAACAAATCTATTGAAAAAGTTAATGGAATGCTTTTGAATGGCAAAATAGTTTACGTTGGTAGATTTATCCCACGTAAAGAACGCGAAAAGGAACTCGGAGAAAAAGCTAAATTATTCACCAATGTCTATGTCAAAAACTTTGGAGAAGATTTTAGTGATGAAATGCTCAAAGATATGTTTGAGAAATACGGCCGAATTACGAGCCATAAAGTTATGTATAAGGACGATGGATCATCAAGAGGCTTCGGATTTGTGGCCTTTGAAAATCCAGATGCTGCAGAAAGAGCCTGCATGGAGTTGAATGGAAAAGAACTTGTTGAGGGAAAACCTCTTTATGTTGGTCGTGCTCAAAAGAAAGCTGAGCGACAAAAAGAGCTTAAGCGCAAGTTTGAGCAGTTGAAATCTGAACGACTGACACGTTATCAAGGTGTCAACTTGTATGTAAAAAATCTTGATGATACCATTGATGACGAACGTCTACGCAAGGAATTCACTCCTTTTGGAACAATTACTTCGGCCAAGGTGAGTTAATTAATTCTTCATATGTTAAAATCCTGTAAAATTCATTCATTCTCACTTTTTCAAAACAGTATCAACACTATCCAATTGATATAAAAGTAGCAAAAAAATATATATATTTTTTGTAACATTGTATCATATTGAATTGAAGTAGTTAATTTATATGAGATTTTTCTGCTGTTTGATAGAGGGTCAGTTTATCATACACAAAACTTGTATACAGTAAACAATGCATCTTGTATTGCAGCTAAACAAATAGGTTGCATTTATTTATGTTAACAGGCTCAACTGATGTTTATTGTTTCAGGTAATGTTAGAGGATGGCAGAAGCAAAGGTTTTGGGTTTGTATGCTTTTCATCACC